CAACGGAATACTAACAGCACAGACTTCCTTACAGAAGTCCAAAGAACACGTCTAGACAAGGTAAGTAATTAGAAGAAAACTACAATTTAGAGATCGATTGTAAATCAAATTCACAGTACAGACACAATTAGCGAAATATGAATAAAATTTTGATTTATTTTATAATAGATAACGCTAGTTGAAAACTAAAAACTGTATGGTAATGGCATCACTGAACGAGTCAGGTGGTCAGTCTAAACAAATAAAAGGCGCGATTGTAGAAAGAGATTCGTTACGAAACGTTTGTAGGCTAGGGGGCTTGGCCTGTTTATGCTATTCATAACGAAGGCTATAAAATATGTAGGTACGACTTAGAAACTAAATCCTATGTGTACTTATCTGTATTCATAACCCAATATCTGAGGTAGATTGATACGCTCCTTAGTTTTTATATAGTTCGTATTATTCTGTAATAAATTAAATCTAATTCAAAATATACTATAATACCATAGCAAAGCTACTAATATTTTATTTAGTAGTAGCTTATATTGTAGTATAGTAAATTATTTATAAATAAATATGAGTATATCCGAGGTAAGGTTAAATATAAACAAATATTTTGCCAAGTGCGAATCGGACTTCCGAGCTTCCGAGGTTACAAGATTTAAATATCTATACATATCACTATCGATCAAAATAGCCAAAATTACACGTTTCTTTTTCTAGTAGAAAATCCTTTAATTTCAAATTTATTTTTACCACTTGCTGTTATTGCGGCAACAGAAATACACGTTCTGTGAAAATTACAACCATCTACCTGTTACGGATCATGAGATACAGCCCGCTGACAGACAGACACACGGACAGCGGAGGCTCCGTAATAGGGCCCTTCTGGTTACCCTTCGTGTACAGAATCCTAAAAAGTACTAAGTTGTCCACTCACATCTGTATGATTCTTTCTTCAAAGGACTATTAGCCTGGTTCTCGTATGACATGACCAATGTAATACCTGGACTGACCTCTCTGAGTTTATTTTGGCAGATCGGGTGCTTCTTCTCAGTTTCATGTTTTTGTTGTGTTAAAGTGTTTTTAAAAAAAACAACTTACAAAACACATTTTATTTATCATTGACTGCCCTTCTTAGATTATTATGTACTTACATAAATTACATTAGGTATATTAGAATATGAGATTCCTATACGTAAGCACGATTATCGAAAATATAAAAATTACCTATTCTAATTAAATTAATAGATAATTTTAAGATTTTCGATAATCGTGCTTATCTATGAGATGTTTTCGTTAAATAGCAAATTAAAGTAGTTAAGTACCTAATGTACTACCTGTATCGAAAGTTCATTATTATGTACCTACCTGTTTTCAATTTTAACTAAATGTGCTTCAACAAACTTATGGGCACATTTTAGCAGCTATATTCATCCCGGCTTCAGCAATGGACACGAACAATTTTTTCTAAATAAAGATGTAGGTATTACAACCATAAATAGATAGCAGCGGCTAACCTAGCGAGTATCTGTGAGTGCGCGCTGCGCCCCCCCCCTCCGTCCGTCCCACTGATCGGTGAAACAATTTGTAGCGAAAGGCAAGATGTTTTATAACAAAAACGGGCGCGCGAAATTTTATAAACAGACCTTTGGTAGTCTGGATGTCACGAAAAATCTATTGAATGTATCTGTACAAAATAAAATTATTTGCATTTATACAACTAATCTATCCCTGTATGGTAACTGTTTTGCAATTTTCGTTCTTCTTATGGTATTTATTTCCGCCCAAAGATGTGTTAAAATTAGTGTTGAAATTCGGAATTTTCGACGCTTAAAACTTTTAAACATACTCTTTTTTACTTTTTTGTTTCCATACAGGGCTAGATAATGATGAATGATAAGACAAATTGAAATCATTTTTTATTTTGAACGTACACCATCAAACAGTGGAGTAATCGCCGGACTACGTTTGTATGGAAGAATAAGCGACTAGTGTACCCTTAATGTGAATCCACAGTCCAAAAGGCCTGTTAGCGCTATCAAGAGACCCGTAACGTAAAGAGAAGGCCCAGTTCCGAAAGAAAGTCGTGTACTGAATAACGGGATGATCGTTTTCTGGTAAGTCGATCTCAAATCTTAAGAACAACCTCAAAGAAGTAATAAATGTGCAAATTAATCTATGGACGGTCATGAGAAGGTTTTTCGTTGTCAATATATGCAGTAGTCAGAGCACCGAGTTGCTAAGCCTGGCAACTTCGTTCGAAATTGTGTGTAATATGGACTTAAAGAAGGCTAGGATAGGCTACTAATCTCCAATGGGGGCAGGATATCTCTGTACGATGAAGACTGAAAGTCAGCGAGTGCTACGAAGACGAGGAAAACGCTAAGCAAAGGCATTTTTTGAAGAATTCACACCTTTAGTTTGGAGGCTCTATTATGTTTTGGGCAGGAATAAATTCGTTGGATTGTACGCAGTTTGTTTTCACCGAAAACGGTACATTGACTGGACACCGATACATAACGGAAGTTCTAATTCTTCATTAGCTGCTTTTGGCGAAAAATAAATCTTTATTTATTTATTAGTGTTACGGACAGATGATACACGAAAACTAAAAACAAGATACAAGCATTGTGAAAAACATGCAATGTAGCAATGTGCTCACTCACCCAGTTATAGGCACTGACTTAGAAGTATATGGACTGGGTATACCTACAAAATTAGCGTGACTACCTACAAAAATCTAGCACATAAAATGACCGCCTTTTATAGTATTGTAACTCTGCAATATGCGCAGCTGATATCGATATTTTAACTAATATGTGTATAATTTTTTTCTCATTTTATATAATTGGATTTGTTGCTTAATTTACTTTATTTTGTAGGTATTTACATAGATACATGGCTGAATTTTCAATCGTCAAATAACTTATCTGGCGAATAAACGTGACCGACAGTTTTATGGCTTTAGTGTAGATAGAAATTAAATCCTTCTTTTGTGTTTATAGTATTACTGGGATGGTGATCCCAGATCGCATATTGTTAATGTAAAATAATAATGATTAGTTGAGTAAAAATAAAATAAACTGTTTTAAAAATCAATACATATTTATTATTAATTTATCTGCACATAATTCATCACAAATATTATATACTATATTAATATTATTATTTATAACACGTGACGTGATTTAATTATGCTTCAAAAAATTATTTTAATTTAAAAATAAATTGCCGTACGGTAGTTTTGCAAAAACTCAGAAATGCCTCTCAATTAAGTGTTACAATCAAATCAAATTTAGGTGGTTATCTAGTAACATAATAAAATATAAATAGAAGATACACCTACTATAAGATAAGATGAAGGCACTGCACTACACAACAAAAAAACTTATAGCATTCAACAGTTTGACAGCAGATCTACCACATAACTCAGCACTTAAGATGGCGACGCAATCACGCATGGAAGAGCTAATGACGTCACACGAAAGTGTTGTCAAAATAATCAATTGACAAACTGTTGTTGTCTCCATATAGCTCGACACTCGGTCGGTAACTTTCGGTTCTACTGCGGATATCCTAAGTCTATTACGCAGAGAACCTCCGTGTAAGCCCTCTTCATAGGACGCTGATCGACCTTAAGGTTCCTCATACCGGAAGTTGAACTTACCTAGTCGAACTATTTGTCCAAGGTAATATTAAGGTTCCATAACTTCGGGGCTTCGGGAGCTCCCAACAAATGCCGGTATAGATGTGACATGGACGTTAAAAATTACTTTTGATTTGACCATGTTCATTTAAGAGTTATCCATTGGGAGACACTAGTCCACTCTAACGATTCTGCCATGAGGACTATACCGCTGGTAAATCGAAGGCAAGTTATATACTCGATATTGATGTTAATACCGTCTTTCAAAGCAGTGAGGTAGAGTTTCGGAGATACAACGTCACTTTGTATTCCACCTCTCGGCAGTTAGATAAATTTCGTACTCTTGTTCAGTACTCGGACAGCCATTGTAGCTCTACTACTATAGAAGGTATGGAGTGTAGAGGTAAGGAAAACAGGCTCTGTATAGAAAAGTGTCCGTAGGAAAGCGTTAAATAAGGGTGGCGCCACTGTAGCTACAGTCTAAATTTTACAGAACTTTTTATAATTTTTTTATTGCGCAGACTTTCACCATAATTCTTTTTACAATAGTTATTTTATTGCTTTCAAATTTTTTATTTTCAAAATCACTCTCAACGTTTTTTGCGGCGATTTAACATACCCCGTAGCTACTTGGGCGCAGTAGTAGAGAGTTTTTAAACTGTTATTTACTGCTTACAGATGGACACTTCAGCACTTCGATACACCGACAGTCAAATTATAATTGCCTATACATGTGCCTGTAGTGGGCACTAGTACCTAGTATTGGGAGCACTACGCTCCACAAGGCAAGGCCGCGATGCTTAGTAATCAAACATTTTTATTCTTTGGTTCGTATGCTAAAGTACCTTTAAAAACCTTAAACCTGTTACTGGCTTTAGTTTTGATTTTGTATAATTTTTAATTTAAAGATGTTGCAACATTTTATTGTCTATGAAGGACAAAGGCAAGTTTGTTTTAGCTAGATTTCTCTGTCTACGGTTTTAGCTGCTACTGCGTATTTTTGTAACAAAACAAAATTCTCTACTACGATTGGTGACTTATAAAATTATACCATTTGGAAACCAATCAGAGAGAACTACACGGATTTTCAATGAAAACATATTTATTGCGTACTTATAAAACGAGAACATTCCACTATGGTCTATGGTCTATGCTGAACTAATTATTTTCTTCATCTGAGTGGTATTATTCGGTAGAATCCACTAGTTAGTCTGTGGTGGTATTTTTCATGTGGCAAGAATTTGCAGCTCGTATTGTATTATGAAAATTAAAAAGATCTTTCTTGCATGGAGTTGCGTCATCCACATGTTAGTGTAAAAGTGGGATATAACACGAAATAATTTGTTGGGACATTAATAACGAGTAAAAAATGCTGACCGCTACGCGGGTGATTGGTCGAAAGGCCTTAGAGTGTTCTGGTCTGACTTCGGACTTTTCTACACACAGAAATTTTACTACAATTCTGAAAAATGTAAGTATCCATTTTTCTTTTAAAACGAATGAAAATCGATTGTCACATTTATATAATTTTTTCCAATCAAACATTGCTAAATCAATTTATTTTTAATGTATCAAACGAGCTAATTATTGATGTAGTATCCCATGTTTCTACCGGTGTCGTAATGTCGACACATGGGTTTGAATAAATATCAGTTTCGCTTGAATTCAATTCAATTGAAATGATTATATCTTATTACAGGTTGCAGCGCCTACGGTCCCAATTTATCAACGCCATGCAGTGCAATACAGACAAAAGTAAGTAACTTAATCAAATTTACGCTATTATTTCATCATAACCTATATCTCTTTTGTAATGATCTTTGTATGCTTAATTAATGATAGTAATAACTTAAAATGACAAAACCAAAATCTTACCTAAAAACAACTCGCTGATCTAAATGTATTCTCATAACTCACAGTTGGTCGTTTTCTTATCTTTGGTAATGAGGTTAGACTTTGGTCAATAACCAATCACCTCATCTTCGTTAATAATATGCAATTTCCATCGGTTATACACATTAATCGGATGATTTTCTATATTTCATGAAATGAATGTTTTTTTATTCAATATAGATCATTGTATAATACTTATTGAAAGTAATTTTTAATTACCACTGGTTCGCAAATAAACCTCTGTCCTAGGAATAACCAGCAAGAAACCCAGTGGTACTTTTTTAAACATATTTTAATTAACAACAAATTTATTTTGTATGAATTTTTATAGAACAAGCATGGTGGCAACCTCATTCCCAGGGGTTATTTTCATTTATGTATTCATTTATATTATAATAACCCTTTTTGTACAATTTTTCTTTAATAAAACATGTAAACTTGTTTAATGACAAATTTTGTACGTTTATATGATGTAAGTAATTATTTGTGATAATATATAAAAAGTAACCCATGACACCCCACTATTACACCAGATCAACCACTGACTGACCACATATTTTCATAAATAAAAATAAGGGCAATCCTAAAGCTGCGAACATTTAGGAAAATTTAGTATAGCCTAGGATAAACAAATTTGTTCTTGAATCGGGTTTGGCTAGTAACTAACTTTTTGAAGTCAAAACTTCATTATAATCATTGTGATTTAAAACTTCATGAAACAAAAAAGCTACACAAAGAAGAAACATACATATATAGGATTTAGCCATTCGAGGGAATGAGACAAAATACAGTATACAGTGTTTCCTATCCTTGTCCTCCTTTTCTGAAGGTTTCACTTCTACTACATATTATGAACCACAGACATGCTTTTTTTTTAATGCAGATTTGTTCAAAACTAGTTTTGACTGGAATAACAATAGAAAAAAATTGTATTTTTGGGAGTAAGTTAGGACAGAGGCTGCTCCCTACAGTCATGCTACTTCTGCTTTTTGACCAGCTCGATTTGTGAATTGCTATATACACTTTTTTCGACACTTCCTAATTCGGTTATAAAATATATCTAAGCAAAATACCACTGACAGACTCATCATGATATCTCCAAAACTATACACCCGATTGATTCGAAATTTAGTGTAGTTACTCATTTCGCAAAGTAGATGCTCACTTAGAACAGGTTGTATACAATGGTCCCATAAAAAAATTCTTGATATTTTACATCTAGGTTCCACAAAAAAATATTATTGTGCGCCCAGCAGAGTGAGCAGATTGTCAAGTAGTACTAAATCAATTGCACCCTTGAGCGGTAGCAACACCTGTGTGTTGTATATCTTTGCGGCGGTGCAAGATTAATGATTGAATATAAATTTAGTTTGGAGCATTATTGCTGTAAACTTTATAGACAGTCAACATTTTCTATGTTGATTAAGATAATGAAGATACCCTTGGTTGACTTTTATTCAAGGTTATAATTTCTGATTAATGGGAAACCACATCATTGTGTTGTGTTACCATTGTTATCATTACAGTCCACTGCTGAAGATAGGCCTATCCCAAGGATTATCACAGAGCATGGTTCTAAGCCACCTGCATCCATCGACTTGTAGAAAGTCTGTCTTACCAGGTTGTCACTCTATCTAGCATAGGGCGGACCTACACTTTGCTACACGAGGCCGCCACTTGACCTTTCTTCCCATTGATTGTTGTTCTTGGAACTATATGGCTGTCCCATTGCCATTTGTGTCATATGTACTTGCAAAAATTTGAGTGCTTACTTGTCCTAAAGGCAGTCCTAATAGTAAACTAGATCCCACCTAACATCACATTTCACCCACTTGCTAAAATGGTGAAAAGTACTATTTTACTGGTGGTAAGACTTGTTTTCTGTTTTCTGTGCCCATTTAGGTAGTTACTACACTTATACCTGATTCTGCCTATCAATAGCAGTACTTATACTGTTATGTTCCTGTAGGAAGGGTACAGAAAGCCAGTAAGGATGGGCAAGTGAAAAAAATATATTGATATAATTAATGTTGATATTTTTAAACAGTATCGATATATATTGCAAAGTAAATATAGATATTAGTGATGCAACAGAACTCTGTTTCTGTTTCCGCAACTGCGGAAGTTCTGCATGGTTTTTAACATCCGTTTCTGCTTCTGTCTCCGCAAGTTTTATAACGGAATTTTAAACTGAACTCAGCGACACATTCACATAAATAGATTTATTGTATTATAAGTTAATTAAAAATTTAAGTCATGTGTGTAATTTAATTGCAACCAAAAACAAGTCCTGTTAGAAACTATTATTTTGAGATTGATGATTAAGCAGCCAGATGTAAATTATGTGACGAAATATACTCGGGAAAAGGCTGCGCAACTACCGCTTTAGAGAGCCATCTTAAACGCCGAAGAGTTTGCTGAGTTTGAGAAGTTAGTTGAAACTGTAAAAATTTCATTGCAAACTAAAAAACAAATGGTCAATCAAGGAATTGCACACCTATTTATTTATAAAATGTATTCCTATGTTATAACATAAAAACCAAATTTTAGTAAAAACTTGTTTTCTCCAGTTAAAAATAGTTTTTAATAAATGCCTTTGTTTTTTGTCACAGTAAGAAATAATTATTTTTAAAGAAACTTTAATAAGTATTTTTGATTCAAAGTTTATTTACGTCGTACTTTCGTGCTACGGCTTTACTAAATTACCTGCTCGCTAAACCTAAATGTTTGTCCAAATTCCAGTGCCTATTTAGCTTTGGTGTATAGGTGGTACGCAGCATCGCCAGTGAGCAATAATTGCTATAGCAATAATTATTATTTTTCGGAGCTGGGCTTATATATGAAAAACACTGGAACAGATTATTAGGTGTAAAAGTGGCCAGACTACTTTTCATAAAATATAACTTACCGCTACTTAATTTTGAATGTTAATTAAAAGTTTTATTTGTAGTTTTTAAAAAAAATATTATTTCCGTTTCCGCATCCGTTTCTGTTTCTGCAAAAAAATATTTTTAACATCAGTTTCCGTTTCTGTTGACACTTCTGTTGCATCACTAATCGATATATCATTATGTTTTGCATGATGTAGGTAGAATAAGGCCCAAAATTTTATTACTGGATGATTGGATGACTGTGAGTTTGAAAGTATGTGAGCAACCCAGGTTTGATCCTGGAGCTGATAAAATTGTCAATTGTAATTTTAAGTATTGAATTACCACATGCTGACCCGTGAAGGAAAATTTTGAAGACATGTGAAGTTCAACATGCATTGGGACAGCACAGTGAACATTTCCTTGCCCTAAACCCTTCTCTCAAATGAGCGGAGGCCTTTGTCCAGCGGTGGGACGTATGTGGGCATAATGAAAGCTTAAAACTTAGTCTATGGTAATAAGAAATTTCATATTCTAAACTACCAATTTGTCTATGGTTGAAAATAAGGGCAAATTTTTTTGTTCTAAGATTCCATGCTGTGAGTTTAAAGTTCGACGCAATCGACATGCTGGGGGCTCTGTTTAACCCTTAATAACCTAGAGTTTCAATTTTGATACTAATATTTTAAACCGAATATTCACATTACTATTAGTTTTTTTTTATATGTTGGCTGTATGTATTTTACTGTTGTATAGTATTCTATCCAACGAAATTAAAAAAAAAAACAAATGTCATTATTGTTTTATTTTATCTGTGACATATTACTTGCGCGGCAAAGTGAACAAGTAAACACATTTTACTAAAAGTTTTGTTGAATATAAATTTGATATATTTTCTTTTTCTGAAGAATATAAATACTTTTGAGGTAAGTGAATACATTATTTTCGCTATGATATAATTATTTTTAGCAAATGCATGTTTTACTTGAAGAAATTAGTGCTTTTTTTTTTGGTATCAATATTGATACTTCAGGCATTCCGCCCTACATAAAACCTACCTACTAACTCTTTAGCTATAAAACTTTTTGAACTTTCGTTTCATATTTTTTCTGCATAGCTTGGTGTGGGGATTACTTTTGTTTTTATTTATTATAGAAATTTATCCAAAATGCGGCCAGAAGAGATTGAGAACATATTGAAGCGGTTAGAAAATGGTGAAATTTCGGAAGACGATTCCACCGACAATGAAGATGACATAGACTATTATTCGAGCCAAAGAGATCGTCTGATGGAGCTAGATGATGAAGAGGATGTAGGTAATTTTCCCACTGACCCAAACTTGGATGCAGATCCGCCTGCAGCAAACGTAGATACCGACATGCAACATAATTTAGAGACTGTTGAACGAAACCCAACTCCTACAACCAGCAGCCAGAACAACCTGCAAACTGCACCTTTCAACTCTAGAAACTTAGTGTGGAGAGTAAAAAATATGGATTTAGTCCAAAATGCTTTCCAGTTTGCTGGAAATACTGAGTATTCACAAGAAATTATGAACTTAGACACTCCATTTCAGTTTTTTTTCTTATTTTTTCGGTGAAGACATTTTGAGATTTCTAGTGGACGAGTCAAATAAATATGCCTTCCAAAAGAATCCCAACTTTACAGAACCTGTAACTGTCTTAGAATTACGTAAATTTATTGGAATTCTTATTTTTACTAGTGTATATCATTATCCTAGTGTCCGGTCATACTGGTCAAACATTACAAAGTTTGAACCCATAGTACAAACAATGAATCGCAACAGATTTGATAAAATTAGAGAAATTTTTCACATGAATGACGACTCTAAACATTTGCCCATTGATCACCCCCAGCACGACCGACTGCATAAAGTAAGACCAGTGATAGACTATTTGAACAAGAAATTTATTACTTTACCATTTGAGCATCGTCTATCACTAGACGAGCAGATGTGTTCCACAAAAATGAAACATTTTATGAAACAATATTTACCCAACAAGCCCCATAAGTGGGGATTCAAATTATACGTGTTATGCTCTCTGTCTGGTTATGCCTACAGTTTTGAGATTTACTCGGGAGCTAAGGACATGGACCGTTTACCTGGCGAACCAGACCTCGGAGCTGTGTCGAATACAGTTATTCGATTGCTACGACCAGTACCAAGGCATGTCAATCATATAATTTATTTTGACAATTTTTATACGAATATTCCTCTGGTACATTACTTGACCAACGAAGGTATTTATTGTCTTGGAACAGTACAGAGAAACAGGCTTGGAAAGTCGTGCAAGTTGCCGGAGAAACGGGAAATTATGAAGTCTAACGTACCCAGAGTAACATATTACTAAAATGTGGCCTCTCACGAAGGCCAAGAATTGTCGACCACAAGTTGGAAAGACAACAAACAGGTATTATTACTATCCACGTATGTTGGCGCTGAACCAGCGGATACTATAACCCGCTACGAAAAAAAACTAAAGGCCAATATTCAAATATCATGTCCTCGGGTTGTAAAAGAATATAATGCACACATGGGCGGCGTTTATTTGATGGATAGCTTCATTGGTCGATATCGCATTCGCATAAAGTCGAGAAAGTGGACAACGAGGCTCTTCTACCACTTGTTAGACATGACTGTCATCAATGCTTGGGTACTGTACAAAAAGGTAAACACAAGGAAAGGAAAACTTCAGAAGAATATTATGAAGTTAGCAGATTTTAGAACTGAGCTTGCCGATACTTTATGTAGATATCAAAGTCACTCAAAAAATTAAAGGGGCAGACCCAGTACCAACAGTCAACAAGACAATACAGTACCCTCTAAAAAACCCCGGACAGGTGCACAAGTACTACCCCCAACTGACGTGCGTTCCGATTGTATTGGCCATGAAAAAATATTTATGGAGTCTAGGAATAAATGTAAATTTAGTAATTGTAGGAAACTTACCTCCTGGTTCTGTAAAAAATGCAAAGTATCGTTATGCGATAATAAAAACAATCGATGTTTCGCATTATTTCATGCATAGGTCATTTAAGATTTCTTTATGGCCATAATGCCTGAAGTATCAAAATTGATACCTGTTTTTTTTTTTAAATAAATATGTAAAATAAATATTGTGATTTATTTAGCTATTTTTCCCTTCATCTAGACCCTCAAGCAAATACAGTAATATTTAAAAAAGAAGACTCGCGTAAATCAGGCTACTAAGGGTTAAGTTATTTTACTTTGTACTGTACTTTTACTTTGTAACACCTCTTGAACCGGATGTAAAAAATTAGGAACCAGATTCGGTTCTGCAAGATCCAGCTGTGGCTCTATTGGGGCCGCGGGTTCCAATTCCGTAAAACAAGTTTTTATATGTTACATCAAATAGTTACTCCAGGTTTAGACTTTAGATATTCATGTGCAATTTATATCATATGTAATGTGTAAAATGCCTCCACAGTACAGGAGCAAATCTTAGTGTGAGGGATTGCAGAATGGTTATTAACTATGATCGTGGCCTCCAGAAATACCACAAAATATTTTTTTAAATATTTTTTATTTTACAAAATAGTTTTCAGTCACCTCTTGATGATAATCATAATATTTTTATAAATAAAACTAATTTTCTTTATTGTATCCAGATCGGATGGAGTCCGTGGTGCTGTTATTGGTATTGATTTGGGTACCACCAACTCTTGTGTTGCCGTCATGGAAGGAAAGTCACCTAAGGTAAAAACAAACCTTTTTGCAAAAAAATTCGTTAAATATTGCATTCACTTTGACCCTTCAAGCGCCATAAAAATCCCATGCAGTCGCATGCGCTCGGAAAATCCCGAGCGGTCGCATGCGACCGCGCCCACCCACAGCACTTAAAACCATTAACTTATATTTAGAGACTACTTTTCTATGAAGAAGTTTAGCATTATAAAATCTATACAAAATTCTCTATGGTGGTCTAAACAAAAGTAGGGTTTTACTTCATTACAAAAAGATATTATTGTATTTTGATAACAAAAAGAAAATATACCACGCAAATGTCGGCAGCGTGAAAATCACAATTATTTCAATATATATTACTCGAAATTATTTACGTAAAAAGATAAATTGTATTCACACAAAAACTTTCATTACAATTTTAATCCAAAAATCAACACAATAACATTCACGCGAAAATAGCGTATGTAATAAACGTAGATTATAAATAAATATTCATAGGATAACAGTTTTTTTTATTGCACTAGAGCTAGAGGATAGAGTATTTCATATTGATTATATAATGCCGAACTTCTTCATAGAAAAGTAGTCTCCATATAAGTTTTTATGTGTTAAAGTGCTGTGGGTGGGTGCGACCTTATGAGACCGCTAGGCATTTGACGGAATATGGCCGCGGTCTCATGAGACTGCTAGGGGGTTGAGAGGTTAATTAAATTTTGTAAAGGTGATATCATACATTAAATAAGGACTCAAAAATTAAGTTAAAGGAAAAAATATAATGTAGTAAGTTAATTTCTATCTATAAAATAACACAAAATGCGCAAGGAAAAAATTGTTTTTTTATGGAAGAGGGGGCAAAAAGGGGGGTAAGTGACTACCGCCGCCCATGAACTACTGCAACACCAGGGAAATTGCAGGTGCTTTGTCAACCTTTTAAAAAGGAGTAAGCTCTTGAAGTTCTAAGTTGGACCGGTCCGGAAAAATAGCCGGTGGTAAACTATTCCACAAAGAGTTTCTACGGGGAAGAAAACTCTTTAGTGAAATGCACAGTGGTGGACGTCCAAGCATCCAGATGATAACTAGGAATATGTTTTAACATTTCTTGATTTATGTACATATTTATAAACCTAAGTAATTGAGGTTTTTTAGACAAAAAATTCTCCATAGCAGCCCCAATTCAGAATGTTAATGTTGTTACATCTCTGTGCTTCAAAAAGCAGATACCATAAATCCAGCACCTGATATTTCTCCAGTCGTGTCAAATTGCCGTCCCATCGGATTATGAGAGTTAGGGATATACTCAGTAACGGTGTCTTGCGCAGATGGCAGTCTCCATTGTGACTGGCCGCCATGACAGAAATTCTGTCTGGAGGACATTATTTTAAACAGTGAATTTTTTTGTTGTTTTGTTTTAATGTTGCAATGACGAGACTGATTGTATCAAAATATTTTTTTTATGAGTATTAATATTTTATTTAATACTTATCCAACTGCTTACTGCATCAACCAATTTCGAAAGTCTATTTTTATTTTCTTAAGTTTAATTAGGAATTTAAATAAAGAGCTTATGACATAACACCTGAGTCTATATGTTACCGTATTTTACCGACAGTGGTCTTTTTTTATAGGATTGATGACAAACGAGCACACAGTCCACCTGATGGTAAGTGGTTGCTGTGGCCCATAGACATCTACATCTATCCTCGATTACGAATCAAAATGCAGATGCGTTGTCATCCGTGAGGACTTAGATGGAATGCCTCATTTCCAGTAAAAGGGCTCCGGTTTTCTACACTCACCATATGAAACACAGCGGCATTAAGCTACTATTTGACGCTGGTATTCTGTGAGAGTGTGGTCCTTCCCCAGTAGAGCTGACCCATTTGTGCTACAACTATACTAGTAATATAACTGGAGCATGGCTCTACCACGTAAGAGATCTATACGGTAACAGGAGACTATATTTTTTTTAAATTTTTTTTTTAAATTTAGGGACTTAGGTTATTTTAAACATGTCAGTCCCATTGTACCTTATAACTAAATAACAAACTACAATTTCTTAAATTATTTACAAAAAATATTAACTAAGTTATATACAATTTGAGCAGCATTAGATAATGGTTCAGACAGAATGCTTTGATATTCCCCTAGGTTACAAATTTTAATATCAGTTTTGGCAACTAATAGTTTCTTTTCATGATGATTTTTGGAACATTCCGCGAGCAAGTGTTGTACATCTTCTATTGTTTTGCATGTATCGCAATTTGGAGATTGTTTCATTTTCATCATGAAAGCAAACTTGTTACACGGAATGTGTCCGGAACGAAGTCGCATTGCTAATACAATATATTTTCTATTCAACAGACATTGATTAAACCAAGGCACTTTCGGAGGCTGACTTTGGATGGTTTTGTATTAAATCCCTTTTTCTTGTGATCTTTTATCAAAATATTCTTTCCAAATTTTATAACATTTCTCTTTATATTTAATTAAAATTTCTGAATAATCTGGATAAATATTACATTCTCTTCCTTGGGTGATTGCCAATTTCGCCAGCTTATCAGCCTCCTCATTGCCCTGTAAACTGATGTGAGACGGTACCCACTGCAATACTAACTCACGGTTTTTACATGGTACGCACTGCTGTACTATTAGTGGGTGGTAGGAGTTGTCTTCCTGTGTCTCTCTGGGGAGTTACTCCCCCCCCCCTCCCCTTTGCCTATGCTGCCAAGCAACAGTGAGAGTGCTACTGTTCCAATCTAAAGGAAATAGAGGAACAGTACAATTACAGGTCATGATCAATTCTATTTTAAACCCGCAGTTGATAATGCATAACCTTTGCTTGAACTTGGTTTTTTTATTATAGAATAAGGGTGACAAATGAGCACACGGTCCACCTGATGGTTAGTGGATTCTGTGGCCCATAGACATTTACATTTATCTTCAATTAAGAATCAAAACGCTGATGTGTTGTTATCCCTGAGGACTAAGATGGAATGCCTCGTTTCCAATGAAAAAGAGTCTCCGGATCTCCTACACTCACCATATGAAACACAGCAGTATTAAGCTGGTATTCTGTGAAAGTGTAGTCCTTCCCCGGTTGAGCCGACCCATTTGTGCTGCAACCATAACATAGCTGCAGTGTGGCTCTACCACATATAAGGTGTCCACCGGCTGCAATCGGTTTTACAATCATGTGGGCTATAAGTTTGTTTGCCGCTTCAGTCAGATATAAAACTATAGTAAGAAGCCAATAACCATCCCCATTATCTAATATATTTATTCGTAAACGTCAGATCCTGAAGGTCCGAGATAAAATTTCGCACCGTCGATCAGCTTACGCGTCCGTATGCGTTTGCTTTTGCAGCAGTGCGAGATTAACGCATGCTACCAGCTAGTCCCGGTTAATACCGTTGGCTTTCCTAGAAACCGTGCTACAGATTTTTTAACCAACTTGAAAAAATGGAGGAGGTTCTTAATTCGACTGCATTTTTTTTGTGTGCTACCTTAGACTTTTTTCTAGGTGAAAAAGCTGGTGCTTTTCATGTGGTCCCATATAAATTTGATCAGAACCTGACCGGTAGTTTTTGAATTATCCTTAATAATGCGTATTTAATTGACTTCGACTACATCGATGATGTAGTCGAAGTCTCATTTTATTTATATTGAAGTTGGTTGTACAACTTTTTTAGTTTTACCACTTGTTATCCTTTGCATAACATATAAGTAGTAGGAGTAAATATAAAAGTATGTTTTTTCCATTGCTGGCATGAGAAGTTTTAAAACACCAGCAGTGGGCAGCTATTTTAGTGTATCAAATTGCACTTCAATATCCAATATTTTCATTAGGTGGTGGAAAACAGCGAGGGTTCTCGGACCACACCCTCTCACGTAGCGTTCTCAAAGGACGGTGAGAGGCTCGTGGGTATGCCTGCCAAACGCCAGGCTATCACCAACAGTGGCAACACCTTCTACGCAACGAAAAGACTGATCGGCCGCCGCTTTGACGATCCCGAAGTCCAGAAAGACATGAAGAATCTCTCATATAAAGTTATCAGGGCTTCAAATGGTGATGCTTGGGTTCAAGGTTAGTATAATTAAGTACATAGAAGAATTACATCTGCTGGCTAAAAAAAATTACTTCTGCTTTCCCTCTTCTCATTTTCAAGAGGGTTTTGGAGCTTTCAGTTCTTTGCACTTGAAAAGGACCAGGTCGGTGTCCCTCTTGATCCTGAAAAGGACCAATTGAAAAGGACCTAGCGGATCGGGTACTAAGAAACAGGAATCGAGGCTTCTCTCGATCCGGCCTCCTATCACGCCTACGTTGGGTTCGGGAACAACGTATGTGATCTCCGCAACGGAGTAACACACTAGGGCGATAACCTCTTCCTTTTCAGCAAGTAGGTTCAGACGGGGATTACGGGTCTTCCGAAGTCGTCCCGGTCCCGACGCCTTAATTCTTCGATGTGGACTGTATAACTTAAAGGATCTTGGGAATGAAACAGCAATTATCTTCAAACCGTTCCGTGAGAGAGTAATCACTTTTCCCTATACTGCTGGTTTTTCACTTTTCTTGAACTTTTTCCCGGATTTTCTTATTTATTTCCGAACTATTTCCTTGAATATTTCCCGAACGATTTCCTTGAATATTTCCCGAACGATTCCCGAACGATTTCCTTGAATATTTCCCGAACCATTCCCGAACGATTCCCGAACGAATTGCAATAAAATCAATTTACTATCCTACCCCTAAGCTAAACGCGAAAGTGAGCCGCGCCATCTGCGCGCTTGCGCAACTTAATTACATGAATTTGTACTATTACTCTCTCACGTTTCACTCAATATCTTTATTTATTCAAATCATATACAAATACAATTTATCAATATAGGTAGTACAAAACAATATCTACACCATGATATACATCATATCTTCATATCATAAAAAACCTTTTATTTATTAAACGAAAACTGCCTATTTTACTCACAAGTTCGAAATCGAAATTTCTTAAATATTTAACACAGAAAGTTAAAACAATGTTTCTCACTTGAATTTATACATAAGCTAACCAATACAATAGTTTAATTTACATTTTTTCTATTTATTTCACTATTTAAAACACTTTTAAATTTCTTATACAAAACTATCATTATTTCACTTATACACAGGAATTTTCACATGAAAATAACACAGAATTTACCTTTTTAGCACGTACAATTGACCTGAAATATTTTACAAGTAATTTTTACATAAATCACTGAATTACAAACATTTTAAATTTTTACATATTCGGCCTCCTAAGGGCGTGGCCAGCGTGCTTCCGTGTACTCACGCTATGTGAACAACTAACTTTGCACGGCTCTCGGCTATCAGAAAAAATTAAATTATGAAATACACCAATTTTGACCACATTAGGCAAATTAAATGCTTTTATACAATTTTCGAACTGTATGAAACTATCTTTAATCAGATAACAATATAAATGAATGTTCTCATTAATCAATCATAACAAATAGGCATTTGTTTTCGTACAAAACGTATCAAACTTATACAAAACAACATTTATGCAATTAATATCCATTAATTCTGCCTATGCACAGAGTGATTATCTCGACCGGGGAACAAATCCGATCTTTAACTTCACTTTAATATTCTTATGAATTTACATCATTTGAAAGATGATTTCAACCGGGGAACAAATCCGGTAACATAATTTATATCTTAAATTCCTTACGAATTTATTAAGCGATATTACTTAGGAAAACAAACAAACTAGTCCGGCCTGGGAGTCGAACCCAAGACCTTCATATCATTAATTCGACATTTCTTAAAGATTTAACTAAGCATTCTCTTATCAGAGCGTCGTTGCTCGTGACTGCCCCTTTTTTCATAGCAACGTCATCGGTTGATTTAATAAACTGAAACATTTTTATAGGCGCGTCGCCAACAATCTCCCCCCCGTGCGTTAGCACCATCATTTGGGAGGCGTCGCGGGTACCAGGACTATTATTCTGGATGTAGGTCTCCTCAAGATACCTGTGCTAGTAATGACGTCAACCACTCTGGTGTGACCGTCTGGTCCCGGTAACGTTCTACTAATTTTACCTTTTGGCCACGTATTTCGTGGCAACGAATGATCTATTATCAAAACAATATCGCCTTCTTTAGGTTCCATGAACTTGCCGTTATCACCTGTTCGAGGTATTAACGTAGGCATGTATTCTTTCAGCCATCTTGTCCAAAAATGGTCGGCTAACCTCTGTGCAGCTTTCCAATTGAGTTGACCCGTCAGATGTCGCTCTAAAAATAATCCAGGTGGTCGATCACCACATGAGCGTCCCAGAAGAAAATGATTGGGTGTCAAACCCTCTTCAGGACTATCCATACTGAATGTTACCAGAGGTCTGGAATTTACCGTATGCTCTGCTTCTAAAAGTAACGTATGTAGAACCTCCTCTCGTGGGCTCTTCTCCTTAAGCGTAGCGGTCAACGCAATTTTAATCGATCTTACTAACCTCTCCCAGGCGCCACCCATGTGCGGTGCTCCCGGAGGTATAAATTTCCATTTAATATATTTCTTAAATGACTCGTTTTTCATGCCCTCATAGCATTCTTCGCATGCTTTCAATAATTCTTTATTTGCAGCTTTGAAATTTGTCCCGTTATCGCTGTATATAACGGCTGGTTTTCCTCTTCTGGCGATAAATCGCCTTAACGCCATTATCATTGACGCTGGTGTCAATGAGGCTGCTAATTCCAGATGTACTGCTCTGGTGGTCAGACACGTGAATAAAACGCCCCAACGTTTTTCGTGTCGCCTTCCTATAGTCACACTCATAGGACCAAAATAATCTACAGCTGAGCATGTAAAAGGTGGCTCATGATGAGCTATTCTTTCCAGAGGAATATTTCCTTGTGGCACGTTTTGCGGCTTTGACCTGTATGTCCTGCACCACTGACAATGGTGTGACACACTTCGTACTACATTACGCAAGTTCAAGACGTAAAATTTCTGGTTCACCTCATTCATCACCGTCTGGTGATTGGCGTGTCCAAAATGATGATGAACTTCTCTAATCATCATTTTAACGATTTCGTGTTTACCGTCTAATATGACAGGTTTTCTACTTTCCTCGGTCAAATTAGACTTGAAAGGTAAACGTCCATTTAAACGGAGTAAGTTATCCTCTCCTATTTCCATAGATAATTTACTTAAGCGTGAACTTCTTTCAACGCTTTTGCCTGCTTTCAAACATTTTATTTCCGAATGAAAACACTCGTCTTGAATGAATTTCCAAATTAATATTTCCGCCTTTTTCAAGAGCGCTGTGTCCAACGCGCTATCGGGTCCTTTAACCGACTTTGCTAAAACTTTGTTGGAACACATAACCGACTTTTCGGTTGCGTCGTCGGGTCCTTTAACCGACTTTCTTAAACTCTTGAATTTTTCTACCGCTTGTAAGGTGCGTGTAGTTGCTCCAAGGAATTTCTTAAAGCTGCTAAATCGTCCGTAGTCGGGTAGACTTAACGGTTCTTGCTTTCTTAACGTATTTACGCCCTTTGGCGATTTTTCTTCACCTGTTTCTAAGCTATTTATGGTGTCCACTTGTTTGGGCCATAAATCAGGACTTTTCCTGAGGAATTCAGGTCCTTGAAACCAGCGATGACTTACATCGAAGGTGGAAGGAAAATTTCTAGTGGCGTCGTCTGCCACGTTTTGTGACGTTGGAACCCATCGCCATTCACATGGCTTACTGTGATCTTCGATCTCAGCCAATCGATGAGCAACGAATGGTTTAAAAGCGCGAGGATCCGACTTAATCCACGCTAACACTGTACGTGAGTCTGTCCAAAACACTCTCTCGGACATCTCGTACTTGCTCTCTTCACTAACCGAAGCAGCCAGTCTGCTGCCCATAAGAGCTGCTTGCAATTCAAGCCTTGGAATCGAAATTGGTTTCAATGGCGCTACTCTTGCCTTTGCGGCGATCAGCGTAATCCGCCTTATTCCTTGCTCGTCCGTGGTGACGTAATACACCGCGGCAGCGTATGCTTTTTCACTAGCATCCGTGAAAGTATGTAACTCTCCTTTGCCGATGCCTTCAGCAACGGGTCTAGGTACTTCTAAGTGACCTAATTTCTTCACTTCCGATATCCATTTACAAAATAACACGTGTAACTCGTGTGAAACTTCTTCATCCCAAGAGATGCCTGTCCTCCATACTTGCTGGATCAGCGACTTCCCTTGAATCGTTATGGGTGATGCGAGTCCCAAAGGATCGAAGACTGACATCACAGCGCTAGTTATCTCCCTCTTCGTAGGCGGTCGTAAACCCTCCATCACCTCTTCCGGTGTGCTACGAAGACTTGTGGAAAAACTTATTATATCCCGTTTGATATTCCAAATCAAACCTAACGTGCGCTCTGTGTGCTCTTTATCTCCAAGCGAAGCACTGTCGCTCTTATATTTATTTTCCATATTACTTAAAACTTCGGGTCGGTTGCTAGCCCATCCCCTCAGTTGGAAAGAAGCATGCTTATGTAATTCATACATATCGTTTACTATCCTTTCGGCCGTCGTCACGTCGGGAAATGCCTGTAGGTAATCATCCATATAAAATTGCTTTCCGTAGCGGAAGCTGCTTCTGGATAGATATGTGCGTTGTCCTGCGCATTTCTATTCTTTACATATATAGCGATGCATGGTGATGATGCCGCTCCAAATATGAGTGACGTCATTCTATACTCTTCCGGTGGCGCGTCACGATTGTGCCGCCATAAGAATCGAAGGCTATCCCTGTCTTCTTCCCGGATTTTCACTTGCAGGAACATTTCCTTAATGTCTGCCATTACTGCCACGCTTCCTTCTCTGAATCGTAGCAGAACTCCGAACAACGACTTCAATAAGTCCGGTCCGGTCAACAACGCATCGTTAAGACAACGTCCGCCCGTCCTTGCGGCGGCGTCGAAAACTATCCTTATTTTCTTCTTTTGTGGGTGAGTCACTGCGAAGTGAGGAAGGTACCACGTACGTGGGGAAATGGAAATATGGTTCGCTTTCTCTGCGTAACCGTTAACGATGAGATTTTCAATT